ACACACACACACACACACACACACACACACACACACACACACACACACACATATGTTGGTGTTTTGCACATAACACGGGTCTAAGCAAAACTCTACCTTGAGAATATGAACCTGAACGAGAATTTAAACCACTTTGTGGGCATTTTACATGCAAAATACACGATAGTTACAACTGTGAATGTGGGCGGTTCACTTTTCACTTTTTATTGTTGGGGGGAGGGAATAGTATTGGACCAGTTTGGGTTTTTTTTTGTCCGTCATGAATAGATCAATAAATAAAGCTGGTTTACCAGGGCTTTCCATTTTCAGATTACACATAAAAAACAATATCCCCTCCCCCAAGTATCTGGAACCCCCTCCCCTCCAACCCCCCCCTCTCTCTCTCTCTCTCTTTCTCTCCCTCTCTCTCTCGGAAGAGTTCGCTAAAAAGAAATGGTTTTTGTATTGTCTATTTTGTTATATTATTTCTTTAAATTTAGATTTTCACTATCAGCATAAGACAATCTCATCCCTGTGAAAAAAGTTACCTCTACTTGAAAGAGCTAAAAAGATTAAGACTTTGCTTCCTTTCGTGTATACATGGGAAAAGCATATCACTTTGTAATAAGCTCGTTGGTTAAACTGTTGATTTCAATTTGCCATTTTAGCCCAAGCTCTATCAATTTTTGATGACCAAGGAAGTTCAAGATTTGGATTGGAAGCCAAAAAATATCCAGTACCTATATCTTAATGCATATTATTTTGTGATGTACTCTTGGTATTTGATCTAGATCTAGTAGGATTCTTCCGACTCTACTGATAAATGCTTTTAAAAAAAAAGAAAAAAATAAGAGGAAAAATGATTTAAAAAGCAAACAAACAAACAAACAAACGAACAAAAGACTTACTTTCCTTTTCTTGAACTGTATAAAATAAGAACAGTTATTCAAGAGCGATTAACCTCTTAAAACTAAGAATCACTTTATATTAATCGTGGTTTCTATTACGAAATCACGCGAGAGTACATTAATTTTTGTCCCAGGCTCTACTCAATGATGTGATATTAAAGATGTTAAGTCCTTTCTTCATAGTTAAAAGTCGCAATGCCAAAATACCGTTAACATGTGAAAGCTCTGCACACATTGCAGTACTATCTCATGAAGCAATAAAGTAGGGGAGAAAAAGCTGTCGTCCGGCTGCGTTGCGAAATCTCTACCTGGACCACACCCATACGAGGCGGGCTGGACACAGTTCTTCACATAGCCAGATTTTCACTCACCGCATCATAAAAGACAACTGGTGAAGCCACTAGAAACACTAGGTCAAACCAGACGAGCATCAAAGGATTTAAAACGTAAAGCGATGTAGATCCCTCAATAAAAACAGAGTCAAAGGAAATTCGTTACAATGCTTACGACGAATATAAAAGAGGCTGGTGAACCAGTTTTCAGTGTTCAACAAAACCCATCTCATAACGTCCGTTGACCTTCGTCATGTCATCTCTTGTTTCCTGGTACCTGATATGGTCCCTTTATATTTATAGACCACATGTAATTGATTGCTTTGTCGATATGTTTCCTCGAAGACAATTTATCCTAGACCACAAAGTTTACTTAGTGAAAATCCAGAGGTGCAGCAAGTATAGCATTAGACTGACATAAAGACTCAAGAAGGCATTTAAAAAAAAGGTAAGCTTCCGAACTTTAGGGGTTGAGTACCTCGAACAAGGTCAAAAGTAAAAGTTTTGCTAAATTTGAATTTTCAGTATTCCAGCTGGAACAACACAAGCAAAATTAAGCCTTTTCTTTTTCTCTGAGCCCCTGTGACCACAAGAATGAGTAGCATGCTTTGTTGACGGGGATAACTCCTTGAAGAGACATTGGGTGTGGCTGCACCTGAGACACAACCATTAATCCTTGCAACAGAGAGCACTACAACGAGGCAGCAGTGATTGAGGGCGCGTAAGTCGTAAAAGGTTGTTTTTTTTTGGGGGGGGGGGGGTAAGTGGTTTACGTGCTCGAAACTGCATAAGGTCATATGAGCGCGCGGGACACATTAAACTTTTTCAGTTGGTAGGAAATTTCGAATTTTGCCCGGGTGGCGGGCGAAGCCTACTCTTATCGATTTTAGACCACCAAGGTATCTTTAACGTGCGCAACTTGCACACGGGCCCTCCGAAATTTTTCACCCTTGTCCGAGGAGGCTAGGTGTAGATCTTTCCTACCAGAAGATCAGGGGTGTGGAGGGAAGACAGCGGTAAGAAGGAGCCAAGGAGTAGCAGTAGAAAGGCTGCAGAAAGAGCGGGGAGCCCGGAGGAGGGGGGCAAAGGAGGTGAAGGAGTAAGGGCAGAAAGAGGAGACGAAAGCAGACGACAGAACATTGCTAGATAGCAGGAAAAGATGTGAAAGAAGACAATTTCAGAGAATTTTTTTTTTCGGTCGCTACCCAGATTTAAACCTTAACTTCTAGGCCACG